TTTTTTTTTTTTTTTTTTTTTTGAAGCCATTTTCGTTTTTTGTTTTCAAAAATAGTAAATGAAGTCACATTCAAAAAAATAATTATAGGGTTGCCCTATTTTTTTATGTTTATTTTTACTTTGTTTTTTTACCCCAAAACAAAACTTCAAAACATCGGGCCGCAAACTAGGCCTCCTGGGAGGCCGCAGGTGTCACGTAGGTAAGACGGTTATTCAGATCTCTTATTTTGAGAGGGGATTCTTGAGGCAGGATACTTATCAAGTAGTCCCAAATTTTTTTGTTTGTCGTTTGCCTCATCCACTAGGTGTTATAACCAAGCATAATGACTCGAGTGAGGGTCAGATAGTCTGCGTTTGCATGTTGACGCGTAAGGCCTCCATGATTTTTCGTTTGACCTTTATCATTGGTAATTGGAAAAAAAATAAAATTGAATCATCGCTCCTCCCTTCATGTGTTGAGTCAATTTCCCTCTGATTCGTACCTAGCCAAGTGAATTGAGTGTGTTTGAATAATTGATGCTTTAATTCTTGCACATGATATTTTTGGTTAAGCAATTTCCCTTTGATTCTTACCTAGCTTCTTGCAGGCGAGGGCCGCCGAAGAAACCTAAATTGCTTATTCTTTCATACCTTGTCTTTTGCTCTCTTCGGTTAACGTACTGACTTAGCTTCCACCCAAGATGTTGTGGTTCATTTTTCATGTCACTGACCATGAGTATACTGGTTGCAATGACTTTTCCTCGCCCACGTCGTCCGTCCTTCATCTTTCTCCTCTCCCCTCTCTCTCTCTTGTCTTTTTATAGGTCCTCTATTTCTCTTTTTTCTCTCTATAGCCATGTATCCACCGATTGAATCGGAATTGGAGTGGAGGAGGGGGGAGCGACACCTAGATCGCTTCTTCTTTCATGCCTTGTCCCCATCGCTCTCTCCAATTAATATACTGATGTGGCATCCACCCAAGATGTTATGGTTCGTTCTTCATCTTACTGATCACGATTATAATGGTTTCAAATTTCAATTACTTTTTCTTTTCGTTCGTCCCTCATCTCTCTCCTCTCCGCTCTCTCTCTCTCTCTCTTTATCTCTCTCTTTGTCTCTCTATAGATCCTCGATTTCGCTCTTTTCTCTCTATAGGCATGAATCCGCCAATTAGATCGGAACTGCATGTGTTATGTCTTTCCTTTTTTGCTTATTGTAGTTGAACGAAAATTCAGGCTTGGTTGCACCCGATATATGCTGGTTGTATACGTCTACCGTGTGGATGCAGGTCGACTGTAATTGAGAAAATGGTGCTCACCTTTTGTTAGGCGTTGCCGTCTGACGGAGGATAATGCACATTGCACAGTCACTTAGAGACATGGGAAAAAGCTTAAGAAAAGGAGAAAAGCATGAACAATAACGTATGTTGGACATTAATGTATGTTGGACAATAATGTACTATGTTGTTTTTTGTTAAATGACTATGGTTTTTGAAATTGATGTTCTCCTTAGATAATCGGTATAATGACTATCCAATCATTAATTCATTCTCTCTCTCTCTCTCTCTCTCTCTCTCTCTCTCTCTCTCTCTCTCTCTCTCTCTCTCTCTCTCTCTCTCTCTC